CAGCCTTTGCCTGCAGTGGCAGCTTGCCGCGCACACAGATCTGGTGGACACATGCCCTCTATGCCTGCCCCAGGGGGTACCTGCAATGGTGGGAGCCACCCCCCTCCCCCGTGCCCCCTGGATGAGCTGCTTACGGTTGTGTCCTACGCCGCACCCCAGCTGGGCAGCACCTGCCACTACGAGCCCAACTCCATCCCTCACCATGGGGGACTCAATCTGCTGCCCCCACACCCCTTCCCTTCCCTCTGCTGCTTCACCCCAACAGACTTACCAGCCGGACACTGCTCTCCAAGCTGCCAGGCTGGCTGCATGATTGCTGCAGTTGCACACATGCACATGGCATTTATTGGTGGTATTATCAGCCACATCAGCCAAAAAAAGCCAATTGCTGATAATGTTAATTTTCCTTTTATTGGTGCTGATACAATATAGACTTATGTATCAGTGCACCTCTACTGTCAATTGATCACAGTTAACATGCTCAATTAACATGTTAGTTGGTTCTTGTGTTAATTTTTTAACGTGTTATTCACGCACATGGTTATGGAGCTCACGCCTAGGCTCCTCTCCACTGTTGTCACCTCGTCCTCTGGGCTGCTCAGTGGGGCAGCAGTGGCAGTGCAGAGGACTGCAGGGCAGCCTAGGTGCGGGCTCTGGGCTACTGCAGCAGGAAGATGGTGGGGGTTGGGGGGGCACATGCACAGGCATAGACACAGGCACAGAGACGCACAAGCAGTCACAGCATGCACATGGCCAGGAACACAGCCCCACGGCATATAGGGTACTGCCCAGCAGATAAGTCTGTGGTGGAGAGGGAAGGTGGGGGGCAGACTGAAGCCTCCATGGTGAGACGGGGATTGGGGTAGAGGCTGGGATGAATGGGGCCCCATGTCTGGATCAGGTCATAGGATAGAGCTGCGGGCAGCTTGTCCAGGGGGTGCAGCTCCCCACTGCGCACACTCCTGGGGGAGGCATGGGGGACATGTACCCCCTGGATTTGGGTGCGGAGTGGAGGCAGGCTGAGGCTCTGCGCTGCCATTGCCCCAGGAGCTGTGCGCTGGCTGCGCTGCACATCCCCTGCCTGCCTGGCAGCAGGAGGCACAACATGGCATCATTCGGCTCCCGGGGCAAAGGCAGCAGGGTTTAGAGCCCCAGCCTGCATAGGGCAGCCCGCCTCCACCCTGTGCACAAATCCAGGGGGCACGTGCCTCCCATGCCTGCCCCGGGGGTGTGTGCAGTGGCGGGGAGCCGGGCTCCCTGCTCCCCCCACACACACCCCTGGACAAGCTGCCACGGTTTTGTTCCATGACTTGCCTGGCCCCAGCCCCTGCCCCACTCCCTCCCTCACTGTGGGAGCCTTGATCTGTACCCCCCTTCCCTTTCCCCCTGTCCCTTCCCTCTCAGGCTTACTTGCTGCACACTGCCCTACACACTGCCAGGTTGCAGTCCTCTAGGGTTACCATATTTCCAGTTTCAAAAAAGAGGACACCTGTGGTGGGGGGGGAGGACGGGACGGGCAGGGGCAGTATGCCTGTGCCCTGCCCCTCACTCCCAAGCCACACCCCCCAACCCTGCTGCTGCCCCTCACTCCTGACTCACAGTACCCCACATCCTGCCAGGACATGTGGGGCTCTTCCCTCCCCCTGGGCTCCAACCCCCCCATACAAAGTACCTGCATAATTTTGAGTTTTTCTGCCCATAATTTTGAGTTTTTAGCTGTGTGATTAAAATGTGATTTATTGCGACTAATTTTCAAAATTGCGCAACTAATCATGATACATTTTTTTAAATTGCTTGACAGCCTTAATATTTTCTTTATCTTTTTGAATCACAGTAGCTTTGACCACTTGTTCTTCAACTTTTCAAAACAATCTTGAACTGTTGTTGCAGCCTTGATGTTCAGCTGAAAGAAATGATGGGGTCAGCATTGTTGTTAACTCGGTATTGCTTTACTGAAATACGTTTTGTGGGGGGTTAGCACTTTTCAAATGGGTGAAGATTGTCCTTGAGGTGGCAGGTACAGTTCTAGGGGCCACTAAATTATCTTTTATTTATTTTATCTTTTAAACAATCCTGTATAATTTAATAGACTGTGCTAGAATTATGTAGAATGCCTCCTTTGAGTAACTTCAGAGGAAGCCTGTTGGTGTCCTTATTCTTATTCTGTAGCCCTTTTCTAGGGCTTTCCCTGCAGAAGATCTGAAAGAAATTAAGTCTATGTGATGTTCATTATCTTAAAAATTCCTAGTGAAGCTGCTGTGGAGGCAGCTGCAGTGAAGGCAACAGTAGGAATGTCACTGCAGATAAGGTCCTGGTGCAGCAGATGCCTTACATTTCCATGATACCTAGTTCTGTTCTGAATCCGGTGCTAGTGTTTGTACTGCTGGTGTCCCCTGAAAAGGCAGATTGCTACAGTAGGATTGGAAGATGCAGTTATGTACACACAGCCCTAAGTGCTTGTGTCAGTAGTAGAAAAAAAGCAGTCCCATTAGAGTAAAAAGGGATTAGCTGCTGCCAGAAAATGAGGAGCAGGACCAGGTCCCTTGCAAGCAAGTGCACTGGGATATTTGAGCATTTCTAGTTCTATGTCTTGTACAGATGAGGGCTATGACAACAGAGCAGGCCAGAGCAATCTCCTGCTTTTTAGTTGCTTATGTGGTGTGAGGAGTTAGTAAGCACACATGGGTGGATCCAGGATTTTGTAAAAGTGGGAGTTGGGAGCAGTGGCCAGTGCTGCAGGGGTAAGTGCATCCCTGCCACCAGACTCTCTCTCCCACCCGGGGCAGGGAGACCATGGAACAGGAGCAGCAGCTGGGGACTTTTTTTTTTAAAGCTCCTGCATCAGGTAAGAAACTCCCTTTCTTCCTCACCCTTCCCCACTCCCATTGCTCTCTGCCTTGTGCTGTCATTATGTCTGGCTGACCCAGGGGAGGGGGAACTCCAGAGCTGTTCCTGCTATACTCCCAGCCTGCTCCTGGGCTTGCAGGGAACACCTGAAGGGATCTGGCAGTGAAAGGGAGCCCATCCACTGCCACTGCTGCCACTGTGCTAGACGGAGCCTGGCTTCCTGCATAGCCTACATGGAGCAGGGCAGGACCTGTACTAGAGCTCACCTTTTCACATCTCCTCCCTGGATCAGTTGGGGCCAGTGATGGCCGGGGGGCATGGGAGGGGAGGGACGAGGAGGTGCTGCTGAGCACAGAGGAGAACTGATGGGGGGAAATTCTTACTTAATTCAGGGACTTGAAAGATAAAAAACAGAAAAAGGGAAAAAAGTCTCTTGCTCCTGTTCCTGAGGCATGATTCAGAAGGGAGGTGCCCCTGTGCCACTGCACCCATCCAGATCCTCCTGTCAGTGAGGGAAGAACTTGAAATGGAATTATATGAACTTCTGGTTTTTGGACTTGCAAAAAACCCACGCAATTTACAGTCCCATCTTTCTTGCTTAGATTAAAGATCCAGTGGAATTTACTTCCATCTTCTTGGAATAAGTACTTTTCTAACATCATAATAGTGCTATAATCTCACCATTTTACAGCACCTTTTAGCAAGAATTTAAAAACTCTTTAAAGATGTTATAAGATTAAATTTGTCCCTGGGACGTACGGAAGAAATTTATCATCATTGCCCAGTAAGAGATAGGGGAACAGAGGCGAAGTGGCTAATTAACTTTTCCAGGTAAGATAAGAAGTAGGTTCTTGAGCATGCCGTCCATATTCTTTTTTAGTGTGGTGTGTGTGTGTAAATTTAAATAGTAATAAAACACTTTGAGAGAAAAATAGTTATTAAATGTAATATACAATATTTATGGTTAAGAAATTTAAAATGGCATTGCAAAGATATAACTTAAAATGCATGTGATGATAGGAATTTGTTTAGAAAGGTGAAAAGGGAAGTTGGTGGATTTTGTTTCATGGCGTCATAAGGCATTAATGAACCTTCATTTGAAATAAATGCCTGAACTGCTCAGGGTTGAGATGCAAAACTATTAGGGTTGGTATGTGTAGCATAGGAAAAAACAAGGCTGTCAGGGGATTTTATTATGAAATACAGAAAGGGTAGAAAAATAGATGAGTGTGAGTAAACTATGCAATTATAATAGGCAAGTAGGACAGGAGGTCAATGTCTGAAGCTTACAGAAAGTAGCTTAGTTAAAATAGCTTTTCATAATTCATAGGGTTGGTTGCATTAAGGGGAAAAACTTTCATTGACTAAAAGAAGTGAACATTTTAATTTAGCGATAGAGGGAGCTAGGTAAATTTTTTGAAGACAGAAAGGTTCAGAGGTTATAGCTGCTAGCTTGCTTGCCTGGTGTTAAATCTGATATAAGGACAAAATGGACTTTTTTTCTCCTATAAATAAATCCCCAGACTTTTTTGTGTCTTTTATATCAGCCAAGAATAACGGTGAGACTAGTTCGCTTAGATTAAGGTACGGAATTTCAGATAAACCTCATCTCCTGTTCCTGCATGTGTCTGTCTCTAGTCATAGAATCATAGAAATTTAGGGTTGGAAGGGACCTCAGGAGCTCATCTATTCCAACCACTGCTCAGAGCAGGACCACCCCTATATGATTCATGCCAGGACTTTGTGTAGCTGGGTCTTAAAAACCTCCAAGGATGGAGATTCCAGAATCTCTGGGTAACCTGTTCCAGTGCTTTACTACCTTCCTTGTGAGAGAGTTTTTCCTAATATCTAACCTAAACTTCTCTTGCTGCAACCTGCTCCTTCTGTCATCTGCCACCACAGTCTAGCTCCATCCTCTTTGGAACCCCCTTCAGGTAGTTAAAGGCTGATATTAAATCCCCCTCAGTCTTCTCTCCTGCAGTCTAAATAAGACCAGTTTCCTCAGCCTCTCTTTGAAAGCCATGTGCCCCAGCCTCCTAACTGTTTTTGTTGTGCTCTGCTGGACTGTCTTCAATTTGTCCACATCCTTTCTGTAGGACACAGTACTCCAGATGTGACCTCACCAGTGCTAAATAGAGGGAGGTAATCACTTCCCTCAATATGTTGGCAACACTTCTACCAGTGCAGCCCAGTACGCCATTAGCTGGCTTCACAAGGGCACTGTTGGCTCGTGTTCTGCTTGTCCACTGAAACCCCCAAGTCCTTTTCTGCAGAGCTGCTGTTTACCCAGTCAGCCCCCAGCCTGTCCCAGTGCATGGGATTGTTCTGTCCTAAGTGCGGGACTTTGCACTTGTCCTTACTGAACCTCATGAGATTTATTTTAGTCCAATCCTCCAATCTGTCGAGGTCTCTCTGAGTCCTAGCCCTGTTCTCCAGAGTATCTGCTACTCTCCCAAGTTTGGTGCCGTCTTCAAACTTGAAGGTGCACTCCATCCAGGTCATTGATGAAGATATTGAACAAAACTGGCCCCAAGACTGACCCCTGGGGCACTCCATGTGATACCTGCTGCCAAATAGACATCGAGCCTTTGATTTATTCTCCTTTGAGACTGATGATCCAGCCAGTTTTCTGTCCCCCTTAGCTTGCTTGCAAAAATGTTGTGGGAGAAATTAATTCCTTGAAGACCTGATCCATAATTTTTCCAGGGACTGTTGTGAGGCTGTCCAGTCTGTAGTTCTCTGTATCTTCCTTCTTCCCTTTCTTAAAGATGGGCACTATATTTGCTCTTTTCCAGTCATCCAGGTCCTAGCCTTTTCCTCATCATCTGTCACTCAGTTGCCTCGTCCATTCAGTAAGGAACCCACACTGCCTTACCTTCCTCTTGATGCTGACATACTTGTAGAAACCCTTCTTGTTTCCCTTCACGTCCCTTGCTAGCTGCAATTCCAGTTGTGCTTTGGCCTTCCTGATTTCATCCTTGCATGCTGGAGCAATGCTCTTATACTCCACCCTCCTGTTTTGTCCAAATTTGCACTTCTTGTAAGCTTCCTTTTTGTGTTTTAGCTTACTGAAGAGTTCCCTGCTAAACCAAGCTAGTCTTCTGCTATACTTACTAGTCTTCCTGTGCATCTGGTTGGTTCATTCCTGCATCCTCAGTAAGGTTTCTTTAAAATACAGCCAGCTCTCCTGGACTCATTTCCCCCTCAGCCTGGCTTCCCAAGGGATCCTACCCATCAGTTCCCTGAGTGAGTCAAAGTCTGCTTTTCTGAAGTTCAGGGTCTTTACTCTGTCACTTTCCTTCCTTCCTTTCCTCAGGATCTTATCATTCTTATCATCAGGATTTCAAGGTTGCTGCTGTCCAAGTTGCCATCCACTTCAGCATTCCCCACCAATTTTTCTAAGTAGCAGATCAAGAAGAGCATGACCCTTAGTTGGCTGCTCCAGCACTTGCACCGGGAAGTTGTACCCAACACTCTTGAAAAACTTCCTGCATTGCTTGTGCACTGCTGTATTGCCCTACCAGTAGATGTCGGTGATTGAAGTGCCCCACAAGAAGCAGGGCCTGTGATTGGAAACTTCTGCTAGATGTTTGAAGAAAGCCGCATCCTCCTGGTCTGGCGGTCTATAGGAGATACCCACCAGGACATCACCCTTGTTGCTCTTCCCTCTAACCTTAACCCAGAGACTTTCAAGAGGCCTATCTCTAGCTTCATACTGGAGCTCTGAGCAATCATATGGCTCTTTTACGTAAAGTGCAGCTCCTCCTCCTCTTTTCCCCTTCCTGTCCTTTCTGAACTGTTTATACCCATCCATGACAGCACTTCAGTCATGCAAACTATCCCACCATGTCTCTGTTATTCCAATCACATCATATTTCCATGACTGTGAGGATTTCCAGTTCTTCCTGCTTGTTTCCTAGGCTCTGTGCATTTGTGTACAGACACATGTGATAAGTAGGTGATTGCCTACTTCTCAGGAAGGATGATAAGGCCTTCCCTGTTGTTCCAAGTCACCCATTTCCCCACTCACCTCAGGGCTTTGGCCTCCAGGGCTAGGCATACCTCTGCTGAAA